CCCAAGGTTGAGATAGTTACTGTTTATTTGTTGAACAAAGCAGTCATCCAAGAGCAGATTTGTTGAAAAGCTTCCAAGCAAGTTGTGAGGCTGCAAGCAAAGAGGAAGAACAGCTAATCAGAAATCAAGATAAGAAAAGTTAGATCCAAATAGAGTACAAATGCCCAGAATAGCCCAGAAAGACAGTGATGACCTTTTTCCTCAAAATATCTTAATATCAACATCAAAGATGAACTATGTCAAGCCAAGCATATAACTACTACTACAATAAAGTAATTAGTAAAATCAAACAAGTAAGCAAGAAAAGCTGATGGAACGTAAGAATTTGTAATTTCGAACCACAGATGAAAACACAGAAGACACCACTGTTCTAGGCTGTACTTAGGATTCCACCACTGGTAAGGATTACACCTCGGCCTGGGTGTAATAGCCACAAGAAACTCTCAGGGCCATTTCTATCTGAAAGCTGCTATCATTTCTTATGCAGAGAGAGCACACTGCCATTCCTCTGGCTCATGACTCAAATGGATCCCTGCTGCTGTGGCTGTAAATTGCACATCCCTAATTTAAGTCTCCTCCGCTGAAGCAGCTTGAGCTATGATTTGACCAGAAGACTAGAACAGCTACTGTACAGAAGGAATGACCCACACCCAGGGGACCCAATCTCGTTTTCTTTGATTATATTGCACAGCCTTGAGCTACTGCTAAATAATAGATTTAAGAACTATCAAGATCCCTTCCCCAATTTCTCTACTCCTGAAACAATGGAAACCATGGCTCACTGAAACGACGGAGTCAGAACCCAGGTTTCCCAACGATCATAACATTAAACCACACATCCACTAAATAAGAGCAAAAATTGTCTTGACCTCTCGTCCCCTTCTTAAAAAAATTGTTGAGGTTATATATCTAAAAGGGCATCACAGATACTTGAGCCTCCTAATTAAATGTATAAATGCATAGAGACTTGAGAGAAAAAATAATTTACTGAACAGTTACAGACAGCATGTATGTACACACACATCCACACGCTTTACTTATTTGATCGCTTGCTAAATGTGCAAACTCTTCTCTGCCTACAGTTACACACTGTGTACATCTGTCTCCATGAGGAAATCAAGTCATTGGCTGCCAATTTCTAAGAGGTGAGGAGAAAGCGAAGCAACTGAGAATGAAAAGACTGCTATGGCTTTGACAAGATGAGCAAATAGCTTCTAACAGTCCACAAACTACAGACACACACACACACACAGGCACACACACACACACACAGGCACACACACACGTTGGGCACTGCTTGAAGGGGAGAGTTCTAAAAGCCCAACTAAATCTCTATCTGATGGTAAAAGTGAGCCTAGGTATTTGTAAAAAGAAGAAAGCACTAAAGAAAAAACGGAAAGGAAAACATTTTAGAGTTACATGATGAAAAACAAGATCATTTACATATTGTCCAAGTTATCATGAACCAATTAAGCAATAAAAACAAACAACATGTGACACACCCCAAATAAGACTGCTATCCCCAAACAGCATTTTTATAATTTTTAGTACAAATTGCATAAAATAAGATTTAGTTCACAAAAGACAGTCAGGAGATAGAAAACCCCACTCCCACATAACAAATGTGAAAGTGATAAAGACTGCAAAAAGGGTATAGAGAAAATGGTGCAAAGGATAAATCCATAGTAGATGCTTTTCTTTGGGGATGACATTATCTCAATGGCTACAAATTGACTCACTTACAAAACCACTGCACTACAGGGTGAGTGATGATACAGGCAAGCCTGTTAACAGCTAACCCTACTGCCCCACAACCTTCCTTGGCCTAATGCAGAGAAGACAGAGATAGTTGATGGGAGGCCCACCTCATTCTTGTACCTGGGTCCATTCAGCCTCAAAAATGGTATAACAAAACAGCATTCACCACTATCATGCATGAACTCAAGGACCACTGGCACAGAGGAGAGACTAGGGTATTGCTTGCACTCTTAGGCAAATGAAATTTCATATATTTGCCAGTTCTCAGAACACCTAAGACTGAAAGTACAGCTGGGAGCAGTGGCTCACATTTGTAATCTCAAAGAACTGCACGCCAAGGCGGGAAGATCACTTGAAGCCAGGAGTTCAACACCAGCTTTGGCACAAACAAGACTCTGTCTCTGCAAAAATTTAAAAACCAGCTGGGCATGGTGGCACATGCTGGCAGGCACTTGAGCTACTCAGGAGACTGAGGGGGAGGATCACTTAAGCCCAGGAGGTCGGCGCTGCAGTGAGCAAGGATCGCACCATTGCCCTCCAGCCTGGGCAACAAACCGAGACCCTGTCTCTTTAAAAAAAAAAAAAAAAGTATAATATATACAATTACAAATTTCTTAGCAAAATGACTCTACTTTTCGTATAAATCTCAGCTCCACTGGTCTTTGAACAAGTAAACCAGTTCCTGAAAACCAAGAGCATCTTTCACTGACTCCACCCTGGGGAGTGGACATGCCAAGGACACACGGACAACATTTCCTTTCATCCTTCCTCTGAGTTTCACTCTAACGTGAGGCAAGTAGAAAAATCTTTTGTTAGTGGTTCAATTACACTGAAATTAAAAACCGAAGTCTCATGTTTTTAAAAAGTGATCTGAAAACTCTCATAAAGTATCAGATATAAATGGGTAATCTTAGTGACAAGAATGAGAAATATAATGATTCATCATTTTAGTGTCAGGTCTATGTGCCCTGAAGCACACTACTAACACTATTGTAGTCAATTGTTACCGCAAATTTTGGGGGTATCTTAGGGGTGGACATTTTACCATCCCCATTTTACAGATGTGGACGCTGACCCAGAGAGGTCATGAGACAAGAACGTGGTGGAATTGTGATCTGAATGTAGAAAGGTCTTAAAGCAAAGTCTACATGCTCACATCCCGTATTTGTTTGGGAAAATACATTTTTTCCTAGTTCTATACTTTTAAGATCATTCTTGACTCAAGATTCATACTTTTAGGGACTGGTTTTTCAAAACTTCCTTAAAACAAGTTAGGCTTAATGAATTTGTTCAGAAAATTCTTTGAGAGCTCCTTCTGAGCTCAGGCCTGCCTCCATTTTTCTTTCTCTATTCGTCTCCCTAGACACATCAGGTCTTATAAGCTGAGTCTTCCCTGGGTCTCTTACTTTTCCAGGTTCTTGATCTGATTGGTGAGATATCCTGACAGTTTCTATGGGAATCCCCAGACACGTCTCTCTTTTGGATCTATTTCCTCTTCCCCTACATAGTCCCTTCTTGTACCATGCAATTGAAACCTTTCTCTGCCAGGGCAATAAGCCCCACCACACCACTCACATATCAGAGAGGGCTTCCACCTGGCCACACCCCACAAGAGTAATCTACAAAAACATCTTCCTGTTGAGTAAGCAGCTTGGAACATCACATTGAAGCAGACAAATCACTTGGCTACCTAAAGTTCAACATCATTCCGAAGTGCCATGAATTAAAATTACTTTAGTCCCTGAACAAACAAAATGGAATCATCACCAAAAGATATGCACAACACATTCATAGGAGCACTATTAGTAATACGCCCAAACAAGAGACTATCTAAATGGCCAGCAACCGTAAAATAGGTATACAATTGAATAGTATTAGAGCGAAGAGAATGCAAAAAATATTGTATATAATAGTGTAGATTTCACAAACATAAGCAAAACAAGGTAGACACAAAATATTCACTGTATGATTATATTCATAAAGACAAACTAAACAAAGGCATCACAAGGCAGGATATTGGTTGCTCCTGGAGCATGAGGGGAGGAAGGCTCTGGGGTGCTGGTAATTTTCTACTAATCAAGGTGCTGACTGAAGAAGTGTGTCTACTTTGTGACATTTATCCCCTCAAGCTATCCACTTAATGATGTGTGCACTTTCCTCCATGCATGAGGTCCCTCAGCAAAGAGCTGACTGAGACGGACCCTTGAGAGCATCTGGTCCGTGCCCTTTGGTTGGCATAAGACCAAATGTTTCCCATGGACGTTAGATAGCTCATGGACACAGAGGAAATTCATGAAAGGACTGGAACTGGACATCAGATCTCTTAGCTCCCCACACAGGTACCAAAGCTGTGTGACAGGATGTTTCTCTAACTTCCTTCCTTTCTGTGACTGCAGCCAAGGTTTAAAAGGAAGAGAATCACATTCCTATTATGAATATGATCCAGGGGGTTCCAATCTCTTACTGACATCCATGCCAGGAAAACCATCTAAACATGCTTTAGGATATGGCAAATCAGAGAAAGTCAGACAGTTCACATTCACTGGCCAGGCGACCGTCAGCACGCTCCTTACCTCTCTCATATCCTCATCCAGATCACTGAAGTGTTAACTCCTACCCTGAAAGGGTGCCATGAGGATAAGGTAATAAGTAGTGTCAGGGCCATGCCTGGCACACGGCAAGCATTCAGAAACACTATTTGTGGAATGAATATGGAATGAAATTAATCAAATGCTTGTCACTTGGTAGAAGCTCAATAAACAGTAGTTATTATTACTGAGCAAGAGAAATAGGGAGGAAGTGGGTAAACATGGTTGTGAGAAACCAATGCCTCATATTCTAAGCCTACTGGGTCATTAATGGGTCAACTAGCAATTCTCACTGGTGTAGATAAGGTGGTGAAATGGTCTGTGAGGTGGAGAGTGCTGAAGGACTCGAGAAGAGGGCTATGCTCTTTATTTTATATACTACCAGGTCGTCTGTGTTTTCCTTCTCAGTGCCAAATGAAGATTTGTTCATCGCCTGCCACGTCTAAGTCCTACAGCCACCTATGTTATTCATGCTACTCTTAGAATTTACAGGTTTTAAAAGGGGGAGTGGATACAAACACTCCTAGACTTAATTAGTAGACTCACTAGAGTCAAGTAACTTTACTCCTGGAAAAAAATTCACATACACTGAGAGGTAATTGCAGGCTTCAGAGAGGTCTGAAACGAACCATGGCCAGAAGTGAGTTCACTTACGTTTTTAAAAAGCAGGTTTAATGCTGATTTATTTCAGTTCTTCAAATCTTGGATGTACTTAGCAAACTGATCCACACGTTCTTTTATACTGAAAAGAAACAAATACAAAAACGACAAGTGAAAATTACAGCGCATCAGAAATAATAAAAGTGGCAAATGGCTGTTATATAAAGAACATTAAACTAGATAACATGAGTAAAATTAAAAACAACAAAACATGTGTTAAGGACTTCCTTCCATCCATCCTTTCTCTCCTATCCTCCTTCTTCCTTCGTCCCCGTCCAGCACTCCACCCTTCTCTCCCTTCCTTCCTCAGTTACTGGACAACCTCAAATATTCCCTGATGACTGATTTTTCCGCTGAAACCACCATCACTAATTTTTATAGCACAAAGTAGAAGTAGCACATGGTATGTACTCTATGAATGTTTGTTGAGTAAATGAATGAACCATGGTTTTCCAATATTTTGTCGTTAAGGTAAAAAAAAATAGGAAATGCCCACAATTTATTATTTTGCTGTCCAACAGGAACAAGTTGTATAAAATATGTAGAAATACATACATTATTTTTCCGACTTGCATTTCTGATTCTCTTATCTCTTGAATAACTCATACTTAGGGGAAACTTCCCATTAGTATATACGGGCACATATATCCTCACCATGATACAGTAATAAAATATATTTTGGTACTAAAAGAATATTTAAGAACAGTGAAAGCTCCTTTTGAGATGCCATCTCTTCAAATACCTCAGAACTACCTGCATCCAAAGGAGAAAGCAAGAAGTCTCCCAGTTAAATAAAAGATCTATTGCCACACGTGTTTTACAAATGCACACAGAGTCAGGGCCAGTCCTAGACAAAATTATGACATATGGATGTGGCTGTTTCCTTTCTTCTATCTGTCCTTTTGAGGATTCATTAACCCCAGATGTTTAATCAAGCAGGGAAGCAAAAGGATCAGCTCCAAGGTTGCAACAACTTAATGGATATCCTTCATGAGGACATTTTTTATTTAAAAAAAAAAAAAGCTTCAGAAAAGGCAGGTGCTTAACAGTGAAATAAAATGCATTACTGACTATGGAATTTCAGGAATGAATGGGGGTGTGGATTTTCATCATGGAATTTCTCAACAACCCATCAAATCATATCAGGTAAGTATCTGTCCGTTCTGCTTTCTCCTACAGCTGGCTTCATATATGGCCCATATATACACACTAATCCCAGCAAATTTTAAGTAATTTATGATATATACATAGGCAAGCTCAAGTTTAAGACTAGGCTATGCTCTGAAAGTAAACAGTCATGTTAACGAGCAGTTTTCAAAGTGAGCTCCTAGGAATCCCACCCTCAGGTGCTTCTGAGAGCAGAGGCAGAAGTGAGTGGATGTGCAGCCTTGTGCGGTGCGATTTCACTTTCATGTTTCATACTTAGACCCAAGATTTAGTTGGGGAAGTGGTTCCTCCAGCTGCTTATGAAAGAGCTGAAACAATCAATGGAACCAAGTAACAATTAGATTAAAAGCGAGTGCAGAAAATCCCAGTCAGTCCACAACACAGCTGATCTAACACCAAAATCCAACCACCACCTGTCATAGGGCCTTTATGGTAAAATACAAGTCCCAGCCCGAGTCTCAGGGCAGACATCAGCCCGGGTCTGAGCAGACAGGACCTGGGCCTTCTCTTCTTTCCTACTCAGCCCCCTCATCTCCTGCCCTGGAACATCATGAGCAGAAGGAAGGGCACCTACACTTCCATGAGGACTGAGTCAACAGTAAGAGGGCAAGATTAGGGTGCAGTGGGGGGCTGCAGATGTTCACAACATGGTGAAGCAGGGGTCTCCAGAAGAGAACAAGACACAGCGGGTTTCTGCAAGTCAGTCACTTCCCAGGCCCTGCCCTGATCCACACCAGCCTCCTTGCTGGGAATTCCATGTGCAAGGTTTACATGCTTCACCTGGATCAGGGCTCTTGGCTAGGAATGAGAAAGGAGAAAATTAGTAGAAGAGTTTAAAAAGAAGAAGAAGAAGAAAAAAAACCCCTATGTTCTATAAAACCCATTTCAAAACAATATGTAAAATGAAAAAAGTGGTGGTGGCGGTGTGGGGCGGAGGGCAGGCGAAGATGGGAGGAGGATTATGAGAAAATAAGCATTGCCTGAATGTGCTCCACAGAAATTCACATTAACTAACAGGCACTGAATATATTCAATCCCTCCCTCAGCACAGAGCTCCGATTATTTGGCCTAACCAGGACTGAATACACAAAAACATTTAGAAACATGAACCATTATATTTTTTGAGTTTTCATCATAGGACTGGTTTAAGTAAGTCAAAGATGTTCTTTGTTCTACAGTTTTGATTGAATGCAAAGAGACTTTAGTCATTTCCTCAGAAACAGACTTAAGCTATAAATACTAACTAACCAACATAGCCACTCGCAAAAAGACTCAATGACAAGTTTAATTTAAAAACAAGAACACATTACCAAACTGAAAAGTAAGGCATAAAAAAATCCAAACCCATGCAAACAACATTCCCAGAAGAAAAACCCTTAGTGAAATGACAAGTATACTTACAAACAGCTTTTTATTTGACTCACAAACCTATCCCATACATAGAGAAGAAAAAAAAGAAACCAGTCTATATTTGGGTCCATTTAATCAAACGAACTCTTAACATCCTGCCCACAACCTCAGGTCTCAAATTCCAAGATAATTCTCCAACCATTAAATAAGTGATTTCTATGGATCTCTTTGAGATAAAAAACACATTTGTTACTATTGTTTATTTTCTAAATCCCTTTGCTATCCTAAAGTATGACCATCATGAGACTAACATGTTAAACAGTCATTAAAAAGCAAAGTTTCTGTTTATTCTAATACATAATGCCATATTTCAGCCTTCAAAATGAAATGGAATCTGTAGTCTCCTTTCAGATACGACTTAAGTCATTAAAGCAAGGGTCTGTAAGAAGGCCAAATGTGGGTCTGCCACCTGTTTTTGTAAATGAAATTTTATTGGAACACAGCCACACCCATACATTTACATTTTGCCTGTGGTTGATTTTTCCAAGACACAATGACAGAGTTGAGTAGTAGCAACAGAGACTGTAAGATACACAAGTGTAAAACGTTTATATCTTCCCTTTTAAGAAAAGATTTGCTGACCTCTGGTCTAAAAAACCAGCTACTTCAGTAGACTGTCTTAAAATAAGAAATGCTAATCCTGGTGTAGTAATGTTGCCGGATAACTACCTAAGTCACTTAATCACTTAAGCTTTACCTGCTTTAATTTTTTTCATTTATGATACACTAATTGCAATATTTATTGGGAATATATATACCAGGCAATATTTTAAGAGCTTTACTCTTAGTAAATAACAAATTTGTTCGTTTCATTCTGACAAAAATCCTAGGAAAGAAGTAAATTATTTCCATCTTCTAAATGAGATAATCGAGGCAGAGGGGTTAAATAACTTGCCCAAGGTTAGGTAGTGGAGAAATCAGGACCAGAACCCAGGCAGTCCAGCTCCAGAGCTCATTTCTTAACCTTTATGCTACATTGATAATACTTTCCATTTTATAAATTATACAAAATAAAATCTCAAAAGATCTATTAGTTAGGTTAGGTCAATCCAGTAAAACATACCTCTGCACAATTTAGGTTAAGATACCCAAAATAAGACTATACATGGACTTCCATGGACTTTTAAGACCCATCTAAGATTAGAGCCAATCTTGGGGTACTGGGAATATAAAAGCCTATCATATTCTTTATTTTTTATCATAAGTAATCAAAGAATCAAGCTAACTGACCAATATCTATCTTTTCTTTGGTAAGTAAGGCCTCTCCAGGAGGTTCCGGCCCTTCAGAAAAGCTTCAGGAGGAAGACTTAGCAGAGAGACTCTAAATCTTCCACGTTTGCTCCCATCTAGTCTTACCCCCAAGTTTCCATCTGAGAAAACGTTGAGTAAGCGTCAACAGAAATTACGGAAAGATTGTTCTCATAGCCTGGCAAAAAGAGCTCTATGCAGCCACAACCATCACATGGTCAGGAAGATATCCCCTTGCTGAATCACCCCCACCACTTCCTGAAGTTCGCTGGGATTTTGGGAGGAAATATGTCACCTAAGTGTGACTCAGTGCCCTTCTGTACTGAAATATAGGTTTATATGATTCCAAATAAATAGAGAGACAATATAGCACTAAATTACTCATCACCAATTCATGTGCATAGATGGTCTTAACCATTTTGTTGTTGTTTTGGGCTTTTTTTTTAGGAGACAGGGTCTCACATTGTCATCCAGGCTGGAGTGCAGTGGTACAATCACAACTCACTACAGCCTCGAAAGTCTGGGCTCCAGCAATCCTCTTGCTTCAGGCTCCTGAGTAGCTAGGAATATAGGTGTGCCAGCTTGACTAGTTTATTATTTTATTTTTTCGTACTGATGAGGTCTCACTTTGTAACCCAGGCTGGTTTCTAACTCCTGGTTTCAAATAGTCCTTCCACCTCAGCCTCCCAAAATGCTGGGATTACAGGCATGGGCCACTGCACCCAGACTTTAACTTTCTTTTTAATTACACTAGTCTCCAGTTGGTTTTCAATGTCTGCAGAGTAAAGTCTAGATCCTTGAGTTTGACATTAAATACCTTCCACATCTTGCCTTTCTGACTTTTCCAATCTTATCTCCTTCTATGTTGGTCTTCATGCCTCCAGGATGGCTGGCTTTTTCTTCAGTATATCATATCTACTCCTGTTTCTGAGGCCATACTCATTCCGTACCCTTTGTTAAAGACCCTATTTTCTCCTCTGCTACCAACATGAAAAACTCTACTAGCAACACGCTCGAAACCATATTTGTGGCTCAATACATATTACGTCCCTAAGTAGTCTTCCTTTTCTCTCATTGCCAACACCCTGTACTATTTCCACCACCCATTCATTCGGGTATTTAATCACATATTAATGTTCACTGTTTAAATATTCCAAAAGTCTCTTTTGCTTTCTCAATAAGACATTGTTCCTCAAATAACAGATTCTTTCAAATAGATGCTTGGCATTTTCAAATTGTAGATGAAGAGTCCCTGAC